TTATATTTCTTCCGGGGGTTTTTACCTTTAATATTTAAGTTACCCTTATAGCTTAAATGATTATTAAGCGAAGGGCTAACGGATCCGCTATAGCTCTAGCCTAAATTACCCTTTCCGTAATTATTATTATTATTATTACTACTTAATAGCGGTACTAGTGGTATTAATAGTAATAATATAGGTGCTTTATTATTAACGTATTCTTTATTTATATTTTTATTATATTTAAATAATGGTAATAGTAGTAGCACTTTACCTTTATCGTTATAGGTAACGTAATTATTTTTTAAAGCTTAAGCCTTACCTTTACCCTTTTTATCTTTAAGAGGTATAATTTAAACAATAGTAATAATAATATAAATATAATAAAAAAAGAAAGGGAAATAAAGTAAAAACGGAAATAATATAATAGTTTTTAGCTAAAACTAATTTTTAAAATTATTAATAGTTAAAAAAAAAAGAAAAAAAAAAGAAAAAAAGTTAATAAATAATTAATAGGAATATATATATAAATTTTACTATAAAGATAATATATAATATATATAATTTATAATATAAATATAAGCTTAATACCTATATACCTTTATTATAATAATACTTTATATAAATAAATTATATTAATATATTTATTATAACATTTTATACTATATACTTATATAATTAAACTTTTTATTTTATATTTAATTAATAAATTGGTTATATATTAGGTTAAGGATAACCTAATTAAGGAAAAAGGAATAGTTATTATACCATAGTATCCTAAGGCCCCTGGAATATATATACTTTATATATATTATATACCCTTCCTATAACTATATGCTTTAAAGGAAATTCTTCCCTTCTTTAAACTTTAATCTTATTAAATACCTATTATAAGATTGAAGAGACTTATAATATTATATTTAACCTTTAAGATTTAACCTATTTATAATATATTTATTAAAGCTTTTATCTTAAAGCATTTTAATCCTTTATTATTATTTAAAGTTAAAATAAATATATTAAACTTTATAATAAGGGTTATTATTTTATAACTATATAATAAAAGTTAATACCTTATTATATATTACTTTTAAAAGTTATAAAAGATAAAACTATATTATAATATTTTAAATATTAAGCTATTAATAATTATTTATATAACGCATCTCCCACTTGACCTGGCTACCCAATTAAGCTGGCCACCCCAATAACCTATATAAAATCTTAATATTTTAACCTATAATAACTTGACCAATATTGGGCGCACAATAAAATAATTAGTATTATTGAATTCGTTATTTAAAGGGGAATCCAGAGGTATTTTTTACTATTTTTTATAAAATTTATTAAGCGAGATATTAAGCAATACGCTAAAGTAGCGCTAAGCAAGGATTATTTTAGCGCTTACTTTAGCGTATTGCTTAATAACTCCGCGAATATAAATCGTAAAAATTAGTAGAGGGTACCGTTGAATAGCTCTTCTTATTACGAATCTAATGGTATATTCTATTACTTTATACGATTGATATTCGTAAAGTTATTAAATTATCACGTGATTAATGCACCGACGTTTTTTGTATGGGCTGGTGGGGTGGCCAGGTCAATTGGGTGGCCAGGTCAAGTGGGAGATGCATTAATTATTATTATAAATAATAATATTATTTAGGTAAATTATATAAATATAATTTATTAACTTAATAAATATATAATTAATATATTATTAAAAGGTATAATTAAATATTTAAAGTAGTTATATTTTATTTAAAATATAATCTTTTATTTATTTTCTTTATAAATATATAATTAATAATAAATATCTTTTAAGTTTACTTTAATAAAAACTTTAATATAAATAAGCTTATTTAATATTTTTCCAATTAGGGGTAATAATGTACAGTCCTTTTTAATTAACTAGTTTAACCCTTTATAATCAATATAGAATTATAATTTACCCCTTACCTTAAATATAAAAAGGATAAGGGCATTAATTAAGCTATTTAAATAATAAATTTACCCTTTTATTAAACCTTATTTAATATATTTTTATAACATTTTTTACTTTTTATTATTTAATAAATAAATAGGTTTAAATAGTAACTTTTTACTTTTTTTTAATTTAATAGAATATTTTAAAAAATAATATTTTAATAAAAGGTTAATTTATTTAAAGTCTTTTAAGTTTTTAAATTTTTCTAATTCCTTTAATATAATTATTCCATTATTAATTATTAGCTATTTTTTTAAGGTTACTATATTAATTATTATAAGTATAATAGTTACTTTATAATCCTTTATAACCTTTTACTATTTCTTTATATTTAATATAAAGGTAATATCCTTTTTTTATAAGTAATATATTTATTTTTTTATAATTTAATTTAAATTTAAGTTTATTTACTTTTTTTAAATTAACTTAAGGATTATATTATATAAAAAGTCTATTATAACTTTAAAATTAATTAATATTTTCCTATTTATTTTAAAATTATTATATATTTTTATAAAAAAGTTAACTTATCCTTTTAATTATCCTTTTTTAAATATTCCTTTAATAGGTATTTTATTATTATATAATTATAATTTAGCTTTTTAAGGTAAGATTTATAAATTAATTATATTATAATTTACTTTAAAATTAATTAACCTATTTAATATAACCTATTTTTCTTTTATCTTTAATTTTATTTAAGCTTTAAAATAAATATAAAGGATTAAATTTTTTTAATAATTAAGGTTTAATAAAGTTATTAATATATTTATAATATTATAATAAAGTTTTAATAATATAGTATTAATAATATAATTATAGTTTAAATACCTTTTAAAAAAGTATCCTATCTTTTTATAAATATAATAAAACCTTATTTTTTAAAAAAGCTTTTATAAATATATAATTATAATATAGCCCTTTTTTTATAGGTATAATAAATAATAAGTTTTTAACTTTTTATTTTTATATTAATATAGGGGGTATTACTTTTTTTATATCTTTTATTCCTATAAGGTAGTTATTATTTAATAGTTAAGCTAGGCTTAACTTTAATAATAAAATAGCTTTAGTTAGTTTTATTTAATAAAAGTTAAAAAGGGATTATTAAGGTATAAATTTTTATAGCCTTTATTAATAGTTTAATCCTTTTTATTATAATAATTAATTTATTATAGGTTTAAAGGATAAGTTTTTTAATAATTTTTATTTATAATTTATTATTTAGCTTTATTAAAAGGTATATTATTTATATTTTATTTAATAGGTTATTAAGGTCTTTTACTTTTACCTTTTTAAATTTTTTTAAAAAGTTATTAAAAGATTTATTATTCCCTTATATAAGGGCCTATAATATTAATATTATAATTAAGCTATTAATAATATTATTTAAAATATTAATATAAAGCTATTATTAAAATGCTTTTTAAACAACTTAAATAAAATTACTTTTATAATATATAAAAAGGAAGTTAATTTATTTTCTTTTAATTAAATTTTTAAAATTATTATTTATATAAAATACTTTAACTATTTTATCCTTTAACTTTACTTTAATAAAATAAATATAAAATTATAATATAATAAAAAAGGAAAAAAGTTTAACTTTAATCTTTCCTTTATATTTAAAAGTAAATAAATTAATTTTAATAAAGACTTTACTTTATAGTTTTTTTATAGTTTATTTATTAATACTTTTTTTAAAAAGGGTAATAATTAAAATATTAACTTCCCTTTATAGGTTTTAAAGCTATTTTCGTTTTTTTTATAAAGTTAACTTTTTCTTTACTATTATAATTTTAACATTTAGTTATTAATCTAAAAGGGCGTTAATATTTAATTTAACATTTATAGTCTTATTAAAAAAATTATTAAAAATATAAAAAAATATTATATTATTTAACTTTAATATAGCTATTTATAATAATCTAATAATAGTTAAGGAATAAAAGGAAGAATTAACTTATTATAAAGGTTTATCCTAAAATAAAGCTAAATTATTAATAGGTAATATGTAAAAAGTAAATAAATTAAAGGTATAAGTAAGGATTTAATATTATTAATTCCTAGCTCTTTAAATATAAAGAGGAAGCTTGGATACCTTTATATAGCTAACTTCTACGCTGTCCCCACCCTTCGGGGTAACTTCTACCCTAGTGCTATAATGTTCCCTGACAGATACTGGCCTTCAGCAAGTTCTGGCCATAGCTGTCGAAGAAGGATGGCAGCGTTGTCCAAAATGTTTTACCATGGTCGAGCTTACAATAGGCTGTTTCCATATAACGTGAGTACACCTCCGACTTGTTAAGGAGGCGACCTATTCACAGCATTTCTACAAAAACAGATGCAAATGCCGGGCTGAGTTCTGTTACCAGTGCGCAGCAAATTGGAAAACCTGTACATGCGCCCAGTGGGACGAAGCTCGTCTTTATGACAGAGCTCAGCAGATATACAATCGAGATCACCGCCCAGGCGATGAAAACGCGCGACTGCATGCTAACGTAGCAAATCCGGCGGCGGTTCGTCAGGCTGATGTCGGTGCAATCGAACGGATTGCTGTGGGCTTGAGAAACCGCCATGAGTGTAGCCATCGCGAATGGAATCACCGCCGGGGAGAACACAACTGCGATGAATGTAGAGAAAAGTTGTTTGACTATATCTACGAGTGTCGACAGTGTAGCCTCCTGGCATGCCGTCGATGTCGCTACAATCGCCTGTAAGGGGCACCGCTACTGTTGCCAATTTGCCGACTTGATATGTTTCTGCCAGAACGTACCCTTGTACGCGAGGCTGCCGTACTACGTGGGAATGAATAAGTGGAAAAAGTTGAAGAGTGCAATGTATGGTTGGTATTCGATTGGAGTGCATGATAGGAGATGTTGTATTGTATGTGCACCGCTCAGGTTAGGCATCATATCGGGATTTCCCTGGTCTGGCATAGTCTACACGATAGATAGATCGTGGGGCTTAGACTACGGCGTTAAGGGATACGAGCCCGCCCATCTTAGCGAAAAGTTTCCATAGCCGAAATCTCGTTCTCATAACAATACTCTAATGAACAATGTCCGGAAAGGTCAGGACTCGTAGGTATTCTCATGCTTCATGTGAGAATGCAACCTGCTTACTATGTATTCTAAGTCTCCGCCCTCCGGTCTAGTGCATGGCAGTCTTAGACCCGATTCACCCAGTTCTAGCCAACCACCGTTTTGACCGGCGCGGAGCAATTATCTGTCCACCGCACGGAGACTATCGACGATAGATATCAATATCATACAACTTTACGAGACAATCATCCGCATTGCGTCAGAGCTCAGCAGCCTGTGCGCGTTTCGAGCTTATTAATTTACATAGATAAAAATAAATAAATAACAAATACAAGATGGGCGGAAACGCCACGGTGCTCTATCGAACTGTGTATACACCATCACCTTCACTCCCGAAGACCGACGATATAAGCTACGAGTATAGAGTCAGGGTAGTAGTAAAAAATAAATATTCATACTTTGGTTATACAAGACAGCATCAGCACCGTTCCATCAAAGAGAAAGAAAGAAAATGTCTTCTTCAAAAGCAGAGGGCTCCATCGTCGTCACGGGCGCCAACGGCGGTCTCGGCTCCGCCATCGTCCAGCACATCCTCGACTCGCCCTCGCTCGCGAAGAGCTACCACGGCTTATACACGGTCCGCAACACGGAGCGCGCGACGGCCGTGCAGAGCGTGCTGAAGAAGGCCGGCGCCGTCGGCCACGCCTACGACCTCGTCCCGCTAGACCTCTCGAGCCTGGCCAGCGCGCGCAGGGCCGCGGAGGATATCAATAGGCGCGTAGACGGCGGGGAGATACCCAGGATCAGAGCGTTGGTTCTTAATGCCGCGTGGCAAGAATATACCACGCATACGATGACCGGGGACGGATTCGATATGACGTTTCAGGCGAATCATCTTTCGCATTTCTTGTTCACGCTGCTCTTGTTGAAGAGTTTGGATAAAGAGTCTGGGAGAGTGGTGGTTTTGGGGAGCTGGTCGCATGAGTGAGTTCTCGCGTCTTCTTTACTTCACTATCTACGCTTTTGATGTGATGAGGATAGATGGGGATGAATGATTGCTGATGTTGGGGTGCGTATTTAGTACGTCTGATAAGAGGAATACCGTGTCCAGCATCATCCGCGCCTACGAAGACGAGGAGTGGAATCTCATCTTCAAGGAACCTGTCTCCGTGGAACCGCTCGCCCGAGGGAAATGGAGCACGCCTGATGATGAGCCTGGGAGTGGGAATACGGGGTATCGCCGGTATGGTGCGTCGAAGCTTTGCGAGATCATGTTCATGTAAGTGCTTGTCCTCCTTCTGTTCTATCTTCTATGCTTTTCTATCTCACTGAAGGAAGCTTTTCTCTATCGGATTTCATCGAGGTATCTTTGCTTTGCTCTCAATCTGACTGATGGTTCAATGGCACAGGCGCGAGCTAGCAAAGCGCTTAAAAACCGACCCTGCCCTATCCGCCATCGGCACCCTCGCCGTCGACCCAGGCGCCATGCCCACGGGCCTGACACGCCGGACCCCGAGCAAATTACTCAGGGCGGCGAGTGTCGTCGCGGGCCCGTTGATGTCGATCATGTCGCGATTCTCGCCGCCTAACGGACATTATCGCACTACGGCGCAGTCTGCGAGCGATGTTATCAATGCGGCATTCGATACGGAGAAATTGGGACGGAGACCTGATGGGATCTATCTGAATGGCTCTGTGGTCGCGGATTGTGGGCCCGAGGCCAAGGATGAGAAGAAGTGTGAGATTGTCTGGAGGGAGTCCATTGGGTTTGCGGGGATTAAGGAGGGGGATACGGTGTTGACGAATTGGCAGTGATGTGCCCGTCTAGTTCAAGTGTAATCTGTCTTGGTATTCATTGTCTCCTGGGTCTCGGTATAGTGCGTAAGTGATTTCAGTCCCATTTCATTGGAGAAGGAGATAGAGAAGCAGAAGTATTACAGATTCTCTTTATTAAGTTCTATAAGTTGCTCATCTCTAGCAGAATTGATTGGCTCTCTATAAGAACGGACCTGAGTGGTGTACTAGACTTTTGGGATATGATATATTTGTAGACGCTAGAAGATATAGGTTTTCCCCCGGTTCTATGAACATCACACTTAGATGTAGATGTTGTATGTTAAAGCCTTTCAGACAACCTTATGAAATGACCTATAACTGTTTCGATCAAATCAAGTTAGGGGCGCTGTCTTCTGTCATGCGATAGTCATCTGAGACATCCTTGTAGAGTCTCGATTAACAATGTGCTGACACCAGCTTGTCGAGACTTGTGCATGATTCACTTACGATGATGTGGACACCTTAGTTAGTTTGTCTCTAGCACAATTATAAGGTCAACCCACGATGATTGTGATATAAGGAACTCAAATCTCGCGAGTTCGTAGGTTATAGCAGTAGCAGGGCTTGGGTATCCTTATGGTTGTTCTATGATCGGTTCATTGTAGATAAGCTTCAGGGCTATGTACCAAACTCGTGAGGGACTGTGAGCACGACGACCTACGCAGGGCTTCGAAAAGTGACACGACCAGGACGTAGTCATTAGGTAAGAGACGTCTGTCATGCGGGATCTAAGGGGTGACTTAACAGTTTATTTATGAGTGAAAGATCGGAACACAAATCCCATAATTAAGGTTAGTAGTGAGATGCAAGTAGTTTATTAATCTGATGATGGAATTGATTCATTATTTCGATCGCTAGTCTTCCATCAATGCTGCAAGTTCGGCTTCTTCTTCTGCCGTCATCACGCTCTCGTTTGGTTCTGGGATATCTTCTTTTGGAACAACTCCGTTGGCCCTGTCCTCTCTGTCCTTGTTGACTTTATCTAGCTCGTTTTTGTGAAGCGGCCATTTCCTGACGGTCCCATCAATGGACACAGATGCTACTAGATTTCCCTCGTTCAGAATAATGAGGTCTGTCACCTCGTTGTAATGTCCTTCGAGAGTGCAATATAGCTTTCCAGATGTGCGATCCCAGACTTTTACGTCTTCGTCTCGCCCCGCTGTGATTATCCATTGGTCCGTAACGGCTACGGCCCTTACATGGCTGCCGTGGTTGATAGTATCTTCTGTCGTAAACCCCTTTTGCCGCGAAAGGCACTTCGCGGTGCCGTCGCCGCTTGATGTCCAGAGATCCACCTCATCGCCTTCTGTGTCAAAGAACAGTCTGTAAACCGTTGTGTCGTGTTCCAAAATACTATGACGCACAGAATTCGGCTCATTCGGTGACGCTTCTTTGATTTGTTCAACCGTGTCGGCTGTTATGCGCCACCGTCGGATATGGGGATCACTGCTGGCGCTGACTAGGACAACGGCCTCAGTGGTCGACTCTAAGGGGTCGATGACCAGATGCTGAAGGGCCATCATGGAAATGGTTTGGTCTTGGATCACATGAATACGAGATCCTGTCTCGACATCCCAAACGATTATCTTCTTGTCTGCGCCTCCACTGATAAGACAGTCCTTCGGTCCGATTTTTGTGCATATGACGGTCTTAACGAAGTCTGCGTGGCCACTATACTTCCGACCCGGAGTCTTGGTCTCCAAATCCCAAGACCATATGTCCTTGTCCCATGATCCGGCGAATACGGTGCGGTTTCCTGGGCCACCGACCGCAACACAGGTGACGGGTGCAGCCGGGCCCCTGTATACCTGCTTCGCTTCCCCTGACTAGAGCAATTCAGTATACACTATCGTAGACTGCAGCGACACGATATGCTCACCTCTAGGTCCACTCTGCGGACGGACCCCGTGGATTCAGCGATGAGCAGCGAGCTAGAAGCTGAAGCGTCTGGAATAGCAGCTAGCAATTTGGACTTGAGCACAATGGGATCGCCATTTTTGTTACTAGCTTTTGTTGCGCGCCTCTCCTCTTGAGCTTGCTCAGCACTAGTGAAGTCATGTTAGCTATACTGCGCATTTACATGTTGAAGAGAGCGTATACATACTCGGTCTGGAAATAATGCCCTGTAGAGCTGCCCTGACGCATGGTGATGATGGAATGGAATGGCGGGGAAAGACACTCAGATGTAGGAGAAAGACCAGTCACGCGGGGTGAATGAGGCTTGGTCTATATGAAATAGAAACGATGATAGACTGCCTTTTATTGTCGTTCCGGGTGAATTATTACTTCAGGCAACAGAATTTCTCACTTTTATCTACCCACACTCTATTCTCCATGACTGCCTAAGTCACGATTGTATACCTAGGTATCTACACTGTATGTCAGTGGCCAGGAGAAAGCAAAAAGCTCCAGCTGGGAACGGTTGGCGTAGACTGGCAGGGGCCCGTCTACAGTTACCCAGGTACATAGTTACAATCAGTGCCCTGAAGGAGGGGCACTTTAATTGATTGAACGCGTCGCTACGCGCTCTGTGTCGCGCCTTGTCCCTGCCAATGAAGTACTTCGTACAACCTTCAGAATCATCGTGTGCTGAACGGCCAATTCACTGTGAAGTCATAGCGAAGTGAAAGTCTGATTTTTCCCAGTGTTCAGAGAATCTTCAGTCTTTCATAGATCGAGATTCCGCCTCCAAAATATGGCGTCTACAGCGCCTATGCGCCCGCGTGCACGACCTGCCCACACCCAGGGCTCTACACACTGCGCTTACACTCCCGATGGCTCTAAGCTGGTCACCGTGGGCTCCAACAATACCATCCGATTATACAAGACGGGCTTTGATGGCGAGCCCATCAATATCGACGATTGCCAGGAACAGAATGTCAGTGTCGCCGCTTCCGACAACTTCTTCGTCGTGGGGTCCGAGGATGGCACCCTAAGTCTATACTCGATTCCAAACGCCGCCTTCGATAAATACCTCCTGCGAACCTCGCTCCCAATTAGAGATGTCGCCTTGTCACCAGACTCCAAGTGGTGCGCAGTCGCCAGCGATGAGTTGACCGTCAAACTTGTTCGCACAGACGACAATAGCAAGCTGAGACACCTCAGAGCCCACAACAAGCCCACCAAGCACTTGGCCTTCGATACGAAGGGGCAGACTATCTCATTGGCCTGCACCGATGGAATAGTCTATGTCTACGACCTCGGCGGCGAGGACACAGACGAACCCGAGTTAATCCGGAGAGTAGACGGCGTCATTGGTGTCTTGGACATCGAGTCGGAAACCAGCGCCGAGATCGCTTGGCATCCCGACGGCCGCGCCTTTGCTGTTCCAACCCCAACAAGGGATATTCAAGTCGTGTCGAAGAATGACTGGGAGAACCAGCGCGCATTTTCGAACGGACACGCCGGTGAAATCACTGCCCTAGCATGGTCTCCCAACGGAGCCATGCTGGCATCAGCCGGCAAGGACAAGAAAATATTAATATGGGATACTAAGACGCAGGCCGTTATCTCCCGCCATGACTTTGCCAATGTCATGGATATTGCATGGCACCCGACTAAGAATATTGTGTCCTTTACCAACTCGGATGGCGAGGTATATATCTATCCTGACTTTGTTCCCCCAGAGCACACTGCACTGCTGGCACTATCGAAACAGCCAGCTCCATTCATTCACGACCCGTTGTCGGAAATCTCTGCCAACGTTAGAAGACCGGAAACCAATGGATTCAAGCCTATGGTCTCACGCCCTCGGAGGGATTCAGCCGGTAGTTATGATTCTCTTATGGACGGTCCCTTGCCAGAGGATGAAGACTTTGTAGTCGATGATGATGGGGCCGGATATGTCATCAATAACAACGGAAAGCGGTTACATGATGGTGACAGTGTGTTTGGGGAGCCCTTTAGTAAACGCCGCAACGTTGAAATTCAATACCATGAAGCCTTTCAGCCTGGCTCTACACCCTGGCGGGGCAATAGAAAATATCTCTGCCTGAATCTAATCGGATTTGTATGGACGATAGATCAAGATGGGCATAATACCGTCACGGTCGAATTCTACGATCACGAGTTCCATAGGGATTTCCATTTTACCGACACGTTCCTATACGATAAGGCCTGCTTAACAGAAAGCGGCGTGGCTTTTTCTTGTCCACCCACAGAGAATTCGCCAGCTACAATCTTCTACCGACCCCATGAAACATGGACGCACCGTACTGATTGGAAGACGCAGCTCCCTAAAGGAGAAGCTGTGCTTGCTATGTCGCTTAGTGAATCATTCATAACCGTCACTACGACGGCTAACTATGTACGAGTTTATACGCTATTTGGTATACCCTATAAGGTATATCGGCCCAAGAGCGCTCCTATGGTTACCTGCGCGAGTTGGAGAGACTATGTGATGACCATAGGTAATGGACCGGCTGGAGGGGACGGCCGGACAAGATTACACTATACAATTGAGAATATCAAGAGAGACGAGATATGCCAGAATGAGGACACTGTAGCGCTCCCTCCAGGGGCAACCCTGAAAAGTGTTTTCTTCTCGGACTCTGGTGTAAGTGCGCTTCATGATGCATACTCTTTTCTTTTTGCTTCTTTGTCGTCCATTAGGTCTAACATTTGTCTAACTAGGATCCATGTATCTATGACTCTACGGGGACATTGCTCACACTCTTACATTGGCGACGGCCATCTCGAGCTTCATGGATACCATTGCTTGACACGAATCTGCTCCCTCGTCTGGCCTCGGGGCGTAAAACTGAAACCTACTTTCCGATCGCTGTTGCCGACAACAAATTTCACTGTATCATCCTCAAGGGAGGGGATCAGTATCCCTACTTCCCGCGACCCCTGCTTTCTGAATTCGACTTCTCCATACCGCTCACATCAGAGCCACCGAGCAAGAAGAAACCAAACCCTGATGCCATGGAAGACGATGATTCACCAGACAATGAAGACGAGGACTCAGAAAGCCGCAGACTCGAGCAGCAATACTTACTCAAAGGAATTGCGGCGGCACAACTGCAAGACCTTGCAGACGCGACGAAGGGCAGCCATGCGCAGCGCTCAAGCCTTGCTAGACTCGAGCTCGAAATCGACAAGGCTCTGCTTCAGCTCCTGGCAGCTGAGTGTCGCGAGGGCGAGGACAGGGGGATGCGGGCGCTGGAGATGGTGGAGCTCATGCGCGATCGCACCGGGCGGATGATAGAGGCTGCAGGCAAGGTCGCAGAACGGTATGGCAGGACCATCCTGGGAGACAAAATCCGGGAACTAGGTGAGCGGCGCGTTAATGCGCTGGAAGACGACGAGGATGACCTATAATGAAAGCAATAATAAGTATACCTATACCTATGAACCTAAGTATGTAAAACGGCCTATACGTCGGAAACAGGCACGGGAGGTCTCATGACTATTCCTTATCTATACTAATGATTGTACGGTACCTACACTAGTGAACGTGTGTGTGTGCGACACACCACATTCTGTTACTACCCTTATCTAGGTATCTTGCTTGAAATGCGAGCCGTGATAGGCAAGCCCCTTTAACCAGGATAACCCGACTTGAATCTCGACTTTGTTTTCCACTACGCGTAGATGTAGAAATTGTCGTGAATGAATGAACTTGCCGGCACACTGCGGTAAGAAGAGTAATTTAGATCACAGCAATGAGATCATTTTGTTTTAATTGAAAGCCTCCTTGCGCGGTTTCATTAAAGCGTCGTACGCAACGATTGCATATGTATGTACTGTATGTACTTAATCTGCAAGGTACCACCGGCTTGTTCCGCAAATGAGATGATACTGCGTGTTGTCAGTGTTTAGTGTACCGTACTGTTAAGTCAGATTATACATAAGCTATCACATAGTGAATAGAACGAAGCCGAGTCTCTGATGTAAATGGTAACGGGGTCAGGTAAGTAATGTAGCAAAGTGTGGGGGAAATCATCACTACTTTACTGTAATGTAGTATCAGCCGTTATTACCGGATTGTCGGCATACTACTTACTATGCTACACTTGGAATGAACACCGATGCGTGATGACTTACATACCTCTCTACCTTATGTCACATAGTTACAGTACTTACTTACATTGTGGCGCCAATTACCTACCGTAGTGTTCGTGGCTAAACCAAGGTTTTGAAAAATGGGAAAAGTTGGAAGATGGAGTATATCCGACTCAATAATACTACCACGTTAAAATGAGTGAGTAAAATACTATGGTACTTGAAAGGAAAGATCCGCGGATAATGCCGGGAATTGATTAGAATGGTATGATGTGATACCGTGATATGATAAGTATTGTACCTAGATTAAGGTGTCTGATTTGACGGTCTGTAAGTGAGGAGAGAGATATATGTGAGGATATGAGTTTATCTTGGATAGGAATACTTATACCCATTACATTCTACAGTATGTCCATGTTACTACTGACTTTGGACCATTGTACGTGAACATGGCTAACACATTGCGGGATACTGCAACGTGGATTTGAAGTACACCATAACAAAAGTAAACTACTGGTACACGTGTAAGTTAGTTGCTAAATATAAACACATGCTAAGATGCGCTAATAGGTACGGTAGTGTACACGAACACCGACCAGCAAATGTGGAATCTAAGTAGGTAACAATGTGAATATCCACTGTTAGTTAAAATGTTGGTGAACATCGAGTTGGGCACGCCCTTGAGAAACCGCCAGCTTACTGTGAGTGCAAAAACTCGGGCCTGTCTGATGTGGCGGAGGGTTTTGTTAGGGACCTGTTAGGTATGCGACGCCCGTTCCCGTTCTTCTGGAAGGTTTGTTGCCGCTTCCTTTCGGGTCAAGCGGTGATGGGACTGGCGAATACGCTACTCACTAACTTACCAGCATTGCATCCTTCAACCCCGTCCGCTGTTTTACGGAATCCTTTGGAGGCGGAGGGCGCTTACGGTCTTGTCTGAAACGGTAATTGGGGTTAAATACATATGTGCACATGCTGGTTGCTTATTTCTACTAACAGTGTGTGGTTATGATATTGAGTCAACAGTGGGCAGTGAAGATGAAATGAATGGGTTGATACCCGTACAACAAATTGGACGACTGCCGGAGATGAAGTCATGTTATAGTATCATCATACACTACAATCAAACGATGCATATAGTGAAGTGGTAATAATTCATCACGATACATGAGAATGGTTCGTCTCGTCTTTTGCTTTGTCAAATCTCGCGTAGAATTCGCAGGTGGGTGCCCGCCCGGGTTCCGCCTCTGACTTAGGTAAGAAAGCGGGAATCGCCCCAACTCCACTTCCCACCGGATCCTACGAAATACCTGCTATGATGAATGACAGGCAAGGGGCTAATTTGCCCGGCGTAGTATTGCAGCGGACGGGCGTCGTGGAACTGCAGACCGACAGAGGCAGAAGTGAAGCGACGCCCGGCTGCCGGCATGCAAGTTAGCATGAGAATGCAAATACCGTCCATACCAACTCAACCGAACCAAATCGAACATAATATAACATACGGTAATCCCCCTTCCTGCGCTATTATACATATACGCATGCTACGCCGCTACCCTACACTACGCTACAGCATCATCAGTCGGTATCCGACGCGACCATTTCCTATTCAGGCGGCGACCAACCCTGGTTTCACGATCTTCACGCCCTGGGCGGGCATGTCGGGGTGGGGAGCGTAGCATTAGAAGTGCCAGATCTTTGCCCTATCAAGGAGTCCCTTTCATGATACTAGACATGGTAGCGAATCCTGATCCCTGGTTCTGCCTGGACACCCTGTCACTCATATGGACGACAACTGCTGAAGTGCTGTTGGGTAGAGAACTCACTACCGAGGCGGTCTGATAAAAAACTGTCACACTTCATAGGTGGTATAATTATTATGGGGGTGACAGTTTTTTGTCAGATCGCCTCGACTACCTACCCGTCACTACTCAATATGGAGTACAGACTCAGTGCTGTAGTAAGTAATTCTAGCGCCGACGGAACCCTGTCAGTTTTGAGATGCCACGTGCTCCCTCCTCAACATAAGTAGTGTAAGTAGTTCACCCAATCGCGTAAGCAGTTCTCGAAATGGATGGTGGAGATATAATGTATTACGTTATAGGCGCAGCTAACGGACTATTTACCAAGTCTGCCGAGTCTGCCTACTTGAGTACCTGACTTAAGGAGTATAGCACGGGGCAGAGTAGGATGAGCCTGAAGCCTATCTTTACCGCTTGCTACTATGGATTTGCGATGATAACGTAGTGTGTATGTCCAGAAGAGGAGATAGACTTACTAGAGGGAGTTTGAAGACAATGAATGAATTCTGAATGTCGCGAAAACTTGACTGTGTTATTCATTGCCATACTCTAGCGTAGACGAGCATGAGTTCGAGTATATTTCCGCATCCTTAATGAACCCCCTGATACAATCGAGTTGAAACCAAGTGAGTCAATACACCACCTTGTTGAGCAGGGCTGCTAGTAAGTACTTAGGGATGATAAGACGACATAATTATTGCTGAAAGCAATACTTATAAATACTATGTATAGTGTAATTAGCACAAGTATCGTGAGATTAGTACACTCCACCCGCTCCGGCAACCAAGCACTCGGCTGTCTTTGGTCACGGCATTACATCTCGCTTAGCGTAAGGTACTATGACACTCACTATCTACCCAGTCTAGTGTCTTCGCGTCTTGTTAACGGGATTAAAGTAGTTTAAACGTTCGAGTATGAACCCCCGTAGATAAAACACAATTGTAGGGAGCAGTTCCGTTCTACTTATGGCGGCCAGAATAAAAGACTCGGATATGATATAGGTAGCTCGGGGATCAGCGATGTCTTATGTCAGAAGAGTCGACGGATCCGTACAGGATCCCCGACAGCTGCAGAGATGAACCAAGTCAGCCAACATGGCATGTCTTCCCTCACTTCCTCTTTGCATAATCTTACGTGGTAGACTAGCGGACTAGTGTTAGCGGGAGTCTTATTTTGGCATACCTTAGCTGGGATTGATCATGGAGGGGAACAGGGGGTGAGATGCGAAGGAACATACTTAGATATTGACCTGTTTATTAACTACACTCCACCCCCACACCTTGATATTCATTGAGCTTCTGTCGGCTCTTTTTGGTGACATTGAATACTCTGGCAGTTTATTGACTGTCCATCTAATCTCGATAAAATAAACGACGTCGCCGATTTTTTAAGACGCACTGCGAAATACGTAATAATTCGAGCGAAAGAGAAAAGATATATAATTATATCGACATCGAAGGGGTTTTTACCAAGTCGGCAAAAAAGAAGAGAAGGTCAAACGAAAGACACTTTGTATGGACCAACACTTCGAACCAACTGATAATACATCGAAAATCGTTAAACGGAGGAAAAGACAGAAATAACATGGTATCTTGACCTTTCGACGCCAACGGGTCGTTGGGAAGGGCAAGTTTTTTCTTTTCTTTTTGTTCGCATCGTGAACGACAAGGGAGTCTTAAGCGATGCCTGGGGATACATGGGAACTCTTCAAGCGGTACGACAATTCGAACGAAACACCGAGCGGCTTCAACTATCGATCGACCGTTGAAGGACTTCTCATTCCGTTTTTTGTAAGTCTGCGATAATTAGTGACCGATTCGGCAGATAAATAAGGAGGAAAGTAAATGCAGGACCATTTGACTAATGAAGCCCTCTCTTGCTTGCAGATAATATCATGGATTTGCGTATTGTTAAGGATACATACCCGCTATCGACTTCAATGTTTGGGATGGGACGATTTATTTGTTGTACTGTTTCGGGTATGCAACAACAAATCAATGGGGGCGATCTCAACTCTTCGACTAACACCGCTGCGCTAGATTATTGCGACGGTGGGAACGGCGTTCGTCTTGCTATGTATGAGTTTCCCTCCTCCGCCTCCTCCTTCTGACTTGGAAGTATGATGTGGAACGAATAAATGGCTAATGCGGCGTTCTTTCAGTATTTGATTATGGCTTCGGCAAGCATTTCTGGGCGCTTGGTCCGTCGGATCGGTCAGGGTTTCTCAAGGTCAGGACCAACCAACTAATGACGACGCCTGCGAAGCACTACGATGTGATGTGATAGTTGAATGTCATATTGTATATCGTATCGTCGGCTCACACAAGAGGTTGCAACTGACTAACATATTCTTTCTTTACTTTCAGACCTTCTACATCGCACTATTATCATACACCATATCCACAATCCTCACCAAACTGTGCCTGCTGACGCAGTACCTCCGATTATTCGAGGACGACCGCCGCGTGCGCAAGATCTGCTGGTTCTTCATCGTCGTGTCGGCGCTGTGGGGCCTCGCCTTCGGCGTCATCGCCATCGTACCCTGCGTCCCGCTCTCGGGCTTCTGGAATTGGGAGGAGAAGTCGTATTGTTACGGCTTCGGGTCCAAGGACTCGAACGAGATTGGCGCTACGTATGCCGCGCACGTCAGCACCAATGTCATCCTTGATCTGGGCGTGCTGGCCATTCCGATTCCGCTGTACTTTCAGACGTTCAGGCAGAAGAAGCAAAGACTTGGGTTTTCTGTGATTCTTTTGCTTGGAATTGGGTAAGTCTGATCAAATAAACGAACTTTGTTTTTTCCCCTGTCTTGTCTTGTCTTATCTTTCTTTCTTTTATTGCTCTGCTTCGGGAACAGCGTGCCATGATGGAAGGGATTTGACTAACCCCACGACTTTACACAGCGTCAATATCATCAGCATATGGCGTCTATACACCATCATCAAGACGCGTGCAGGCACATATCCCGTCGCGGACCCGACGTTCTATGCGCCGCAGAGTATCGTCCTCGCGGCGCTCGAGGTCGACCTCGCCTCCATCGTGGCCTCGATCCCCGTCTTCTGGCCCATAATAACGCAGACCTGGGGCAAGATCTGGGTAACACAGGAGGTCCACGTGACGCGGCACCACCGCCGGCTCTCAGGCAACGACGACACCGACCGGACCTTTGAGCTCCCGCACTTCGCGTCCTCGGAGCGCTCGCGCCGCGATAGCGACGGCAGCTTGAAGCTCGTTATCATGGACACGGATGGCGTCAGCAGCAGCCGCAGCCGCAGCCATCACCGACGAGACAGTAGTAGCAGTCGCGCGCCCGAACGGCCGCCGCCGGCGATGGTAGGAGGCTACGACAAGAACGACCCGTACGTGCGCGGCAGGGTATACCCGCTCGAGGGCGCCTGCGTGTCCTCCGAGGCGCAGGTCGTGTCGGAAGGCCAGCGTGGCTTCGAGCGGAATTACAGAGAACACTTTGGCCAGGCGCCGCCGCTGCTGGCGGATATCAAAGCCGATGAGATCCGGTATAGCAGTGATCGGCCGAGCAAAGACGGGGAACGATCGTGGAGCCTCTCAATTTCGAGGAAGTCTTCGCGGCGATTCTGAAAATCAAAGCGTAATGAATTGAAAAAAATATCGATCGTTACGGTACTATTTGAGAGGAGAGATTTTATCTAATAGAAATTTGTTTACATGGCATGGCATAGGCGACGGCATTTCGGACGGAGGGAAGGCAAAGGGAGGAAACGTGATTAGAAACTATTTACCTACATATGTAGGTAACCTATTTGGATGCTTATGGTACTTGTAATGCTGTTTTTGTATATACGCTCTATACCCACTCGTATCATATGCATCAATATCATGGAATTTCAGCTTTATATACTACGTTTTCATTTATATCTCTCATTGGTCTGAGTACATTCGACCTCGTATTTCACTCATCTGTTGAAAAAGCTAATAAGAACTTACCAGAGAAGTAATAACGACTTCCCGGGAAGTCGAAGTACATACTGCAGTCCTGTTGTATTAGTTCACGTGGCATGAAGACTCCTCGTGTGGTAATACTAAGTAAATGTATTTGTTGACTAGAGGAGGGGATAAGATAGAAACGCGATGCGAGGTGTCTGTATCTATCCACTCTCAGCCCTTCTGACTCTATACCCGTGTGATATTCGGAATGTGTTGTATAACATGCCTTCGCTCTCTTGATACGATCCTCGAACTAAACACCTTCTTTCTCCTCCAACATGTGCTAAGGCACGCACTTTGCTGGATAGGCAATCCTCTGGGCTATTTCAGGAACGAGCGCCTATTGTGGCGGCAAAGCTATCGTAGAGAGCCAACTACACCGAGCTGTACAGATTTGAAGTCTAGGTAGATAGGAAATGCCTAGTACCTAACTACATCATGTATAGCAGGAAAGGATAACGCAATCAATCAACGCAGTGTAATCAGTACATTCCGATAGGAGGTTCCATGGATGATAGATGACCTGGCCGGATTCGTTCTTAAGTAATCGAGTTTGCACCATTTGCATTGCGGAGCATCCCATTACATAACGGTGCACTCGACGTAGACCATCCCATCGAGGACGTTTATCTCTTCCCCTTCAAACCAACGGCCTTCCTGTTTCCGCTCTTGCGCGCTTGACTAGGGGGTGTAGGTGATGGGGCAGAGTCCTTCCAGGCTAGAAAAGTATTATCTTCATCGTTGTCGTAGTCGCTGTAGACACCCAGTCCGAAACCGAAACCTGATGGTGGGGGCGGGATGCGGATACTCCCGAATGCAGTGGTGCGCCCGAAACCTACTTCGATGAGGCCTTTGTCGTATGATACTTGGAATTCCTCGGCCATTTGCTCTGCGGTGACGATGCGATTCTTAGCTGGGCGGTGGATGGTGCGGGGGGTATAGTTGGGTGGTAGCTTGTGTATTCCGACTGGTTTCTTGGGGTTTTTCTTGGGTTTGCTGTTTGTGGTTTTGGTGCTGGCTTTGGTGTTCTTGGAAGGAAGCTTGGGGGCATGTTTGCGGCTGCCGTCATTAGATAAAGGGGCAGTGTACCCATGAGAGATACCATCGACATGTGTAACAACACGACTGACACCCATGGTATCGGCATCCTCTGCCTTCACTGTGATCTCAGTGAGAATGTCTTGCATCGTTCGCCACTGGGCTCTCATAGATTCAGCATTGGGATATCCAGCCACGTCTGCGAGCTTGTCGAAATCTATCTTTGAGTGAGTTAGTAGTGATCGGTGGGCTTGTTAGGAAAGAATTGAATTACTCGCAATGAACTGATGTCAAACAGTATGAAACATGTTGTGAGGCTGTATGCATAAGGAGGAGGAGGAGGAGGGGAAAAGAGTTTGAGGGGTAGTCTGTTACATAGTTGAACAATAAATATCGTGTTCACGAGAAGAGTGACGAAGTAAGGGGGATCTTGGGTAGCTTGCGTAGGTCAAGCCGTTCTGAGGGTTACACCGACTGGAGTTGCACAAGCAGAAGCGTGATGGGAGGCTCGTGAACACAGTGGTAGGTAGTATGTATGGCATGTGGTATGAGCAGTGTCTCCTGCAACAGGTATTGAATTCGCGTGTTGATACTTGTATGAGTCATATAAAGGTGTGGCTCGTGCGTATGAAAAAAGTATATAGGCTCATGCGCATGTCAAGGAGATGGGAGATAGAGACCATATCATTTACCCTGTCTTCGCCTTTGCTGTCAATGTCCTTTATACAGAGCATGGCTTTGAATAGAATATCCACTTCAATACAGGTCAGACTGGAGTAAGTCTTGCCCGTAGCATTCTGTTGATCTGGCATTGTGGGAAGCTGGTAGCGTGTTCAGTTAGGACCTCTCACTTGAGGAGGATAGGTGTTAAGATGGTGGAGACCAAACTTGGGGTGTGTTATGTCGAGAATTGGATTGAAGTGACGAGACGGAATGTCACGGTACCCATCGTAGAGATGGACAAATAAATGTTACTATAATGTGAACCTTAGCTAGGTATTGTTTGTTCACAGACATGTAAGATAAGGACAGCACATGGGAATAACCAACAACTTTGAGGGAAAATAAGCAGCGACTCACCGATGCCTTCATTGCCTACTTAGGCAAATGTTTATCCAGACGTCATTCTTTGAGTTGTGCGAGGATTGTAGCAGGTTAACGTTACTACATATCGTCAAATGAATACAATGTCACACATAGCACCACTCTAGCTCGTTCTGTGTGACTTGCCACTGATATGCAGTCATTGGTACTCTTACAGTGTGAAATCTTGTTGTTTATCCCGAAGTGAATGGCTCAGAAAATATTTTTCTGGTCACTCCTTAGATCCGCGTCTCACAGAACAAGGGCTAGTCATCACAAGAATACAGTGATTAGCAGGCTATAAAGTCATATGATCATATGAAGAGAAGTATGTCAAAAGTCAAGCTGAATATAATATCCTTGCGTCTTTCTAATCGTCAAGCTTACAACAAATCCTGCTTTGAACCTTGTTCTGCTGTCACATCAATCTTTATCTCAATCCTAAAGCTGAAGAAGGCAGGTATTAGCTTTGACTCACCTGAGCTTTGCTGCCAATTGGCTGAGTAACATTGAGCTATACAAGTTTCAAAGAAAGGGAGAGTTGTAACATTGTTTTCTACAAGAAAGTTTGGGCCCCAAGACATGTAAATACGTAACGACACCCAATACTTAAGAACAGCAAGAATTAGAATACTAATCTCAATCATTTTTGGCATCATTTCGCATTTCTAGAAGCCAAGCTCTTATGGTCATCATCAGTCATATTTTCTTTATATAAGGTAAGTATATACAAAACCAAGATTATACCAGCCGAGCTCAATCCTCATCCTGTAGACCTGTCAGAGGACCAGCCAAACCCTGCATACGACGGCTAAGCAAATCGTCCGAGCTATCGAGCTTGACAATGCTCCTCGAGCCCCGACCACCCCTGGCTCTTCCATTTGCCCTCTTCTTCTTAGTGCCATTTGCTTGCCGATTTCCATCATGGAGCTCGTCGTCAGAATTATCTGAAGTTTGATCGCCCCGTTGGCTATCGCTTATGGTTCTCCCCCTGAGCCTGGTCATATTGATTTCCAACGGACGATCTTCATCCCCGCTGGACTCCGTATTGAAGTGACGGCGCGAATTGAGGCGTCTCTGCTCGCGTGACTCGGCTGTGTTTAAAAGGTCTTCTGCCCAGCGCGCGCAGCGATCGATGAGCTTCCATGCGGCAGGATATACCGAGGGGAACTGTGTGAAGCCGTGGCTGATGCCCGGGATTAGCACCACCTCGGCGACATCCTTGTCGTCGAAATCGGCCATGTCTTCGAGCCCTTCTACATCTAACGATTTCCGATGCGAGTAATAGGCGTGTTTGATGCGACGTAAGCGGCCTGCGAATATAACGGTGTCGTCGACCAATGGGTCTCGCTCACCCGTTAGGAAATAGGTCTTGGGGAATTGCTGTAGCAGAGCATCGGGTGCCAAGATTGGCGATAAAAGGTAGTCCTGTGAGAAATCGGGGCGGTTGTGCGGACCGATGTATAGGATGATCATGGCGCGCATCATTTCTGGTGTGATAATCCGGTCGTTGAAGTATGAAATCATTGAAGCCATAGCCAAACGTGTGCGCATCGGCTCCGAGTGATGAGACATTGATTGACTTTCTCGCCGAGGCACGGGTGTTGCTGGCTTAGACTTGGACCATATGTGTGGGCTTGCGTGGGAAAACTCCGGGTGGGCTGTCTGCAGAGCTTGATCTTGTGTCTCGCCATCGGATGTCTTCGATGTAGCTGCATTAGGGAAGGGAAACTCATCCTCATCATCGGATTGATGGGGTGTGCCGACTAGGTCATTGTACTGCATTCTCTTGCGCTTGAGATAGTCCTTATTCGTAACACGCATCCTCCGATCCTTGATCAAAGCCATTTGCTCATCAGACATCCAATTTCCAATATTCATATCTAGAGCTGGGTACATGAGCACCAGGCCAGCTGGTACTGGTAGATCTTCTTGAACAAGACCCGTTCGGCGTTTGTTGGTAGCAGTTTCTATGATCATTAAAGTCATGGCTGTAGCAAGGTTTCCACCGGCACTGTCTCCCGTCACTACGATCTTTGGAATTTCTCGCCCAGACATCCCGATGCAACGGCCTCTGCTTTTGACAAGTGTTGTATACACGTCGAAGCACTCGTTCAGTGCGTAAGGATATGGGTACTCTGGCGCCTTTTTGTAATCGAGGCTAAGCACGGGCAGCCCGGTCTTGCCAGCCCAGGCGAAGAGCTTATCGTCATTACATCTTGGATCCATGGCGACGAAGCCGCCGCCAGGAATATCAAGGATGACTTTGTTAATGTGTTCGAGGTCTGAGATGGGGCCATCATAATATATCCAACCGGAGATTGGCTCTTTGTAGTCGCTCGTGTTGGGGCGTGGTATGCGGATGGCTCGCGGTGGCCAGCGCGTGAAACGGGGTCGCATCAGATTCTGAAGAGCACCGAGATACGGCGTTTTCCCCTTATTCCAACTGACACGCAAATGGTCGACGGTCAGAGTACCACGCACTTTACGGACCTTCTCGTCGGCCTTTTCGGCGGCCACCAAGTAGTAGATGGAGAAGACCATGCTGGCAATATCCCTCAGCCACTTTTTCCTAATCTTCATGGCGGTCCAGAAGCCAGCGTCAAGAGCAGTGAGCACCCAGGTAGCACGGAAGTAGGCGGCATCGTACATGTTGGCCATGGGCTCTGGACTCGCCAGCCCTACCAAGGTACTAAAGTTGCGGGCGGCATATAGGTACATCATGGTGCAGACAACAATCTGCCATGCCGTAAGCTTCTTGGATGACAGCTTAGACAAGAGTCGTACGATTGGCGGTCCATGGCGGTTGCCTCTACTCTATGGTCAGCTCTTGTATCGCGCGGCGTGATATCTCGACATACCTGTAGAGATAGGCTGACCAAAAGGTCAGGACAGCTAGGACTTGTAGTCGACGCGACTTGGCAGAAGGTTTGCCAAGGACATGGTCTATCATTTTGTATGCGAGAACAAGCAGGTGTTAAATTCGGTGGTGCGTATGCACGAATGCGACATGCCAGTCTCGCATATGCAGCCGAAGAGCGGGAGACAAGGAAAGCAAGTAAGTAGCTGAGATAGCAATGCGATGCTACCAACTCGGAGATGTAGCGACGGAGGCCCAATATGCCACCTGCCAGGGCTTATAGAAATGCAAAACTAGTCGATCAATGCTTGAAGAGCGAGGTGAGACATTGTGTCCCCACCAAGATTTGGGGAGAGCAGAGGGGCGGGTAGGTACTTGGGAGTAGATGCTGGAGAGGGCCGAGTCAGACAGACAGAGAGAGTCCACAAGTAAGCAGTCGAGGGCGACTACAGTCATGTGTCGCGAGGAACAGAGAGAGGGAGGGAGAGGGAGAGAAAGAAGAGCGTGGCGCTCTTAGAGAAGCACGAACAAAGCTGGGTAATTGGGGCACACTAAGGACAGAGCATTATCATATCATGTCGAGGATGGATGACCGTGTATTTTTGACAATCTGGCAATTTGACGCAATGACAAAATGACAAAATGATAGACGGCGTGGGACCCGGGATCGCGGGAACCGAGCTTGTTGTAAGAGTGAGTGAGTGAATGAGCAAGCTTGTGACGTTTCCGTGGTCAGCAGCAATGCGACTTGCTGGCTTCCAAGCTTGTTTCTGACATGTGAAAGCGCTCCACAGAGCCCTCAAGGCACTGCTGGTCCACTATCTGTCCACTACCTAAACGCCAAGCTAGGGCTGCTCCAGCCATTCTAGAGTACCTACTTAAGGGAGGTAGGTACTTGGAGGTACCTACAGCCCCGCTGGACTCCCCTACTTATGCCCCCCGATGTTGTAAGTACCTACCGGGTATCGTGAGCGGCATCACCATATGGAAAGGGATCTTTCCATGGGTATGATAAAAGTTTGTCTGATTCTTCCAGCATGGAATAATGAATATAGCCGCAGTCCTACCACGGTATGGAGCTATGAAGCGTCACACGCCTTGCCGAGCGTAAGCGGTGATACATACTGTTTTGTTCATGGCTGTCAAGTTGGAACCCCACAGTCGGCCAATGTCCGTCAGACATGTGCCCAAAGGTGCCGCCCTTCTGGATTCCGGTCCCTCCCTCGCCTCCATCCCATTTATCTGGGGTAAACCCCCAATTATATTATTAGATCCAAGAAGACGCTGTTCTCCATCCCGTGCAACATACGACCGACACATGGCCGACATCTGTAAGTAACTGCTTTGCGTTGCGCTGGCTATCAAGCCAGCCGCCGGTAAAGCCCACGTCACTTGCATTGATTGTTAGTAGGGGACCTCGGTCTATGTTCGTATGTCTATGTCTATGACTGCGAAAAACAGGGAATATGAATGATCCGATGGCCTGGTTGCATTTTTCATCTCCATTCCAGATAGACAACAGCCGGCGTGGTTGAGAACGGAATGGACCGTTGGTTGGCGCTGACCGAACCCGGGATTCCCATCATAAGTACACGCAGCCGGCAAAATCTGTTGGGGTAGGTCCATCAAAACTGCCAAACGAGTGCATACTGCAGAGACGAGCAGTATCCAAACGTTGCTTCATTACTTTACTAGTATTTCTCTTCTGCATTTCTGCCTCGAAGCAGCTTGAGTTGCTGGAATCGATGGAAGAACCTCATCGTCGCAGGTGATGGATGAGCTCTTGAAGACTTGCGTCATATCAAGGCTTACTTACTTACTTCTGTGGTTTGGTAGTCCTAACAAAAGCGGCGACCGAATCCTAACAGCACCCGCAATATGCAGAACAGACCAAAGAAAAGAGAATTTTTCAGCACGAGACTTGGATGCAACAGGTCGAGCTCATGGGAGTCCGGGTTGTCGACCTAAACCCCTCCAAATCCTGAGAAGAACTCCCCCAAAGTCTGCCCAAAGGCCAGGGCGTGGTGGGTGTGATCGTTGCGACATCGGACCAGAAAAAAGTCGACTATCGATAACAAACCGGGTGCTGAACTGGGCCTCTGCTTCCCCCACCCGCGCTGTAATGCGCGCGCTATGGCGGCTGCCGGGCCCCTGGGAACTGGGAATACCTTGAACAACATCCCGCGCCCTGGCTTGCAAAGATTGCGAAAACCAGTCGGTCCGTCCGTTGGGTGTGTGCGCTTCTCTCCAGCTCTATAAAGGCCCGTTCCCCAAGCCTCCTCTCGGGATTCTCTTGAACAGGCCAATTGGTCTGTTAAGAACCTCATACCGATTTCCCTGGTTGTCATTGATCCCCGCTTGAGTCCCAACTTTCGATACAGCGGTCGGTCCACTTGGGTCGAGGGCCAAGCTGCTGTTCACGAGGAGTCACCGTCTTTGACTCACCAACTGCCCGGGTATGTATTTACTCCTTTTCTACAGCTGTTCTAGTTCTGAATGTGTCTCATGTTTATTCTATTATGTGCCCGTATTAATTGCCGAATAGCAGTCCGGTTTTCCTCTCCAGGTCATTCGTTTGCAAATAATCCTACCTAATTGAGGCCGGTAAACCATGGCTCTCCGGCTCGCTACACGAACTGCACTCACTGGCAGCATTAGGCGACTCTCGTCGCGAGCTGCATCTACCGCCGCTGCGACTTCGAACCTCCCCTCGCAGGTCCAGGAGTCTGTCAATCGCGATGCTGCCCTCAGCAACCCCGACCCGTCGTGGGACTCCCCGAGCACTACCCTGACCACCCAGCACTTAAAACACATGGTGGCTACATATGCCCGACCTTCTGTTGTATTTGTCAAGGGAGAGGGGTCTTATCTGTGGGATTTGGAGAACCGCAAGTATCTCGACTTCACGGCTGGCATTGCTGTCAATGGCCTTGGTCACTCCGACCCAGCGCTAGCCAGGCTCATTGCCGATCAGGCTTCGACGCTGATGCATACTTCAAACCTCTACTTCAACCCGTGGACCGGCGCACTGTCTGAGCTGTTGGTCGAGAAGACATTGGAGTCGGGCGCCATGCACGATGCTTCGTCCGTCTTCGTTTGCAATTCGGGCTCTGAAGCCAACGAGGCCGCTATCAAATTCTCCCGCAAGGTGGGCAAGATCGTAGACCCTTCTGGTTCCAAATTTGAGTTTGTCTCATTTCAAGGTTCTTTCCATGGCCGTACCATGGGCAGTTTATCTGCCACCCCTAATCCTAAATACCAGGAACCCTTTTCGCCCATGGTTCCAGGCTTCAAGTATGGCACATATAACGATATTGCGTCAATCAATGAGCTCGTCACCGACAAAACGTGTGGAGTCATCGTCGAGCCTATACAGGGCGAAGGAGGCGTCAATGTCGCTTCTGATGAGTTTCTTATTGCGCTCGCGAAACGATGCCGCGAGGTGGGCGCTGTTCTAACCTATGACGAGATACAATGCGGTCTATCCAGAACTGGAACTCTTTGGGCGCACAGTCATTTACCAAAGGAGGCCCACCCAGACATAATAACAACTGCAAAAGCTCTTGGTAATGGATTCCCAATTGGCGCCGTCATCACCAACAGTCTCGTTAGCGACAAAATCAAGGTTGGTGACCACGGAACAACCTATGGAGGAAATCCCATGGCGTGCCGCATAGCCCACCATGTCTTAGAGCGACTGGCGAACCCTACCCTGCAGAAAGAAGTCGTCACCAAAGGAGCGCTCTTGAAAGAGGGCTTTGAAAAGCTTCGTGGCCAGTTCCCAGGTCTAATCGGGGAGGTTCGGGGTCGTGGTCTGATGCTCGGAGTTCAGTTGACCAAGGATCCGTCTCCGATTATCAAAGCTGCTCGGGAGAGGGGGTTATTGGTTATCACATGTGGCACAAACACCCTCAGATTCGTCCCACCTTTGACTATAAGCGATGACGAAATACAAACTGGGCTGGATATATTGTCAGCTGCAATCAAAGCAACCCAATAAGCGGAACAGGCAGCCATGGAAATAGATTACAATGCTTACATGATAGAAGAGCACTGAAACGACCCTGTCTACAATTTACAGCGTGGAACCATCTACCCTTCCACTACAGACCGTATTGTAGCTAGAGGCGCTTTCATCGTCACATGGTGTCTTTTCATCTGTGACTGGGGCAAATTTGCGTACGCCGGAACCGATGCAGGCTAAATACGTACTAGAATCGTTGAAGCCAGATCTGGTATTACGGTGGTTCGATCCTGCATGTTATATTTGGACTTTTGGATACGGTAGGATTCGAACATGCTGCCTTGGTCAACGCACCCTTGCCTCCAAAGCTATCATTGGCAACGGCAAAGGTACCAGAATTACCGTGTCAAGACTACGGGACGATTACGATTGGCTGTTTCATGGGCAAACGTACACTACATGATGTAAACCGCCCCCAACGTACTTAAGTATGCCTGTCACTACTGATCGGGATTGGGCATAAGTATACCAGTAGCAATGCAGGCAGGGTAGAGCGTACTTAAGGGAAGCTCAGCAAGATTGCGGGATGTGTTGAATGATTTCATAAGGACTTGGGGCTTTCCTACCTAAGCCTCGCTCTTCCGTCCGTCCCGTGTTGTGATCAGTCGGTCGTCTGTCTGTGGAATGACGGCGAGGAGAAGTGTAGGTCTGCCTCTAGATTGTGGCTTTGGGAATAAGAATGTGAGCGAGCCTTCGTATCGCTCAGCTTAGTAGAGAAATAAGAGGGAGGCCTCTGTCTCTCATCCGAAGCGAATGAAACTTAGAGCAGCTAGCTAGTGTAGGTATTTCCTGCGAATCGGAAAGTGACGCAAAACGAAATCATGCCGTTAGTAGAGACATTTCTTGAAAGGATAGGGTTCCAGGTTCACCGACCTTGGGGCGGGCAATGAGTAATCCACAGGAAAGCGCGGCTATAACGTCAGGTTCTACTTACGTCGTCTAACTAACTGGATAGGATAGGATAAGACTACCTAACTCCCGGCTGCTAATACCTACACGATGTCTGTCTGATGTTTTGAATAAGGCACGTTTTTATGGCTTGACTTATATCATCTCCGAGAAATTCTCTGTTAAGGCTTGCGACCATGCGTATTATTCTCACCTTATCCCGGCCTCGCCGATTTACGGTCAGTCGATGTCTGTCTGACTTTCTTGTCGTAGAATACCTAGCTCATAGGACATCTCTCTCTTACCATGTAGGGAGTTGGGATTGCAGTTATGCCCCAAGTAAACTTGTCGGCGCCCGTGTAATTACTAATACAGTCGAGTAAACACGACTTCTCTCGATACCCCGTCGTTGAAGTCACGCACACGCGTTTATCACTTGTTAAGTAACATCAACATCAACACTTGGCCCGCTGTCTTTTCGTTAGCTCGATGGCGGGCCTCTGATCGGTTTCAGGGTAAGCTTCTCGTTGCTTTCTAACGGATTAATCCGCCGGCGGACGTGGCCAAAGACAAGGGTCCCAGTCAGCGCCACTGGCCGGGGGTCCCCATAACGATGCATAACATTGCATACCAAGCTTTCTTTCCGCCATCCCTTTCAGACCGGTTTCCAATATTACATAGCCCAGTGCACAGTTATATGCAGAAAAAAAAGAAAATACGAAATACCGAGCCAACAGCACGGGTTGGGCATTGATCGGTCACACTTGGCAGTGCTGAGGTCTTCTTATGAATGAGATCACCAACATGAGATAGTGGTCTTCTTTTGTTTCGGAAGAAGGCTGATGAGCAAAATCGAACGATGGGTAATTTGGGCTCCATCTCACCGCTGTTCCGAGCATTTGGCCGTCGACTTGTAAGCGGCCCACGGCGCATGGGGGTGACCCTGTCGGAAGCTCAGGATTCGTTGTGTATGGCGACCTCATCTGTACCCTTCGAACCCCCTTCAGCTCAACCAACCCGTACCCCGCACCCGATGTATCGAGCAGGTATTCTGAAGATGCTGGCATCTTAGCTTTATACCCTCTTGTTGTTTCCATGCCCCGATCCCCAATCGCCGTGGGGGGGTGGGTTTTGAAAGGTCCCTCGGTCCCTTTGCCATGTTTGCTCTAACGACATTTTCACACCTCATTTCACCTCAAAGTTTCTGATTGCCAGTGAACTGTTGTTTGTTTAAATTCTAGCCAGCCCTTGCTTCGTCATATGGGCTTGTTTGTGTGTATTCCAGTTCTTCAGGCTGTAGTTTACGTTGTTCCATATCCTCTGTTCTTATAACCCCTCAAGATTCTGCTCCTGTTTTTCTCCTTCGAATACACCACAGTAAACACATTATGGTTCACCTATCGCAAATACCTCAAGACGGAGAGGCGGCTGCGGGGGCTCTCCCGGAAGCCGTCAAGAAGATTCGCTTGCAGCTCAGTAATTACGATGATACTTTCACAACGAGTGTGTATGGCTCGAAATTTGCCGCCGAAGACCTCCCGAAGCACGAGATGCCCGAGGGCGAGATGCCTAGGGAGGTCGCATATCGGATGATCAAGGACGAGTTGAGCTTGGACGGAAACCCGATGCTCAAGTAAGTGGTGAACACAAAAGCTAGCTTGAAAGCAAGTAGGATGTAAATGATCTAATGGCGTGGTTTAACAGTCTGGCGTCGTTTGTCACGACTTACATGGTGAGATTACCTACCCCTCACGCTTTCGAACCACCCGTTACATATACACATGCATATGCAGACATGAATGCATAATACACAATCCGATTCCGCGCCGGGAGCACCCACAACACCCGACTAACAAATGATACTAGGAAGAAGAGGCAGAGAAGCTGATGACAGAGTCATTTTCGAAAAACTTCATCGATTACGAAGAATACCCGCAATCAGCAGACATCCAGAACCGCTGCGTATCCATGATCGGACGGCTCTTCAACGCGCCCTCCGCGTCGAGCGGCACCTCAGCGAGCGCCATAGGCACGTCGTGCGTGGGTTCGTCGGAGGCCATCATGCTCGCCGTCCTAGCCATGAAGAAGCGCTGGAAGAACAAGCGCGCCGCCGCAGGCCTGCCTACGGACCGGCCTAACATCGTCATGTCCTCGGCCGTGCAGGTCTGCTGGGAGAAAGCGACGCGGTATTTCGAGATCGAGGAGAAGCTCGTGTACTGCTCGCCTGATCGCTACGTCATCGATCCCGTGGAAACCGTCGACCTGGTCGACGAGAATACGATTGGCATTTGCGCGATCCTCGGCACGACGTATACGGGGGAATATGAGGATGTCAAGGCTGTGAACGATCTTCTAATTGAACGGGGTCTTGATTGCCCGATCCATGTCGATGCTGCCTCGGGCGGCTTTGTCGCGCCGTTTGTGGTGCCTGATCTCGAGTGGGACTTTAGGTGCGAAAAGGTCGTGTCTATTAATGTCTCGGGACATAAGGTAAGTGAAACTTGAGGCTTGACTGAATTCGAGAGAAAAACTCGGACTGACTTGTTATGCAGTACGGTCTTGTATATCCTGGTATCGGCTGGGTTGTCTGGAGAGGTTAGTTTTGCAAGCTTCAAGTCTCCCCCTTTGTTGCCATGGTTTCAAGAGCGCAGGCGCTTGCTTAGCTCCCCCTTCCCCTTTTTGCCTCTTTCCTCTCCTTCTATTGTCATCAATCCTTGATCAGGCAGAAATTGACCATTCTTCGCGCCATTTGCCGCAAATGGAAATTTACTGACGCCCGAGTCTCAGCTGCCGAATATTTGCCTCAGGAACTCGTATTCAACATCAACTACCTCGGAGCCGATCAGTCATCGTTCACGTAAGTTTATTCTTTGCTGTTGTATTCGTGAAACTTGGACCGCATAAACAGAACTTATATAGCTGTATGTCATTGTACCCTATTTGATGGGGCGCTGCGCGGAGCTCGTATTGCGATTGGTTCCATGGGAAAAAGAAGAGGCGGGCAACCGACTAATTCTTGCGATGTATAGATTGAACTTCTCAAAAGGCGCGAGCCAGGTTATCGGGCAGTATTACCAGCTCATCCGCCTCGGCAAGAAGGGTTACCGCGCCATCATGTCCAACTTGACCCGTACAGCCGATTATCTAACCCAAGCGCTCGAAGCTTTGGGTTTCATCAGTATGTCGTTTCCTTTTTTTAATTTCCGCCCTGGAATATTGAACTTGCGTATCGCAATGAATGGCTAACCGTGAACGCTATAGTCATGAGCAAGATGTCTGGCGAGGGTCTACCGCTGGTTGCCTTCCGGTTACCTGAGAGTGAGACGAGGCATTATGACGAATTCGCCCTCGCGCATAGGCTGGTAAGTGTCTAGTAACCATCCATGTCTTTCTTTGCATTGCCTTTGTCGGAAGTTGGAAATCTCGTATCTGGCCTATCATCCCCTAACCCCTGAGTATTCCACACACACCAATCACATATATCCCTTGTGAGAATGAAATGAATGAGAAAAGAGTGTGTACTGATGCTTTTTGATATCACAGCGTGCTCGCGGATGGGTCGTTCCCGCGTACACCATGGCGCCACACACAAACAACCTAAAGATGCTGCGCGTCGTCGTCCGGGAGGACTTCACCAAAAACCGGTGCGACGCGCTACTCTGTGACATCAAGATGTCCCAGAGCATGCTGGAGCAGATGGACAAGGACGCCATCAAGCTGCAGGAGGAGTATATCCTCAAGCACACTGTCAACAGCACCGAGGCGAAACACAACCATCCTAGGTTTCGGGTAAGTTTGCCTCCCGTTCCCCATTTCCGCGGGGAAGGAAAGCAGTTATCTGTGTGCCATGCTGACGCCCACTTTGCAGAAGGAAAGGCATTCCATCCAGGGGATACATGGCAAGACACATGCCATCTGCTGAGGAGAGTGGTGGAGGGAGAATGGCTGGCCGGATTGGGTCTCCCGTCTGGTAGGGCCTTGAGTTGCTGGTTTGACGACCGGCCTTAGCGTTGGTTCTCTTTAGACCTTTTTCACGATTTAATGAATTTCATATTATCTCTACTAGGTTAGGATAGATGGTTCAGTTTGCCTCATTTAGATTTGCTTCTGGTATTTCCTCTGCTCTTTCTCGACTCCTTTTCAACATTGGGTAGACGATGACGTGCTTTGCTCCCTATTATTCAGAGTTCATGTGTTCGAAGTTTATCGTTATGTGTCTCCCTTGTCTCGTATGGATGGCAAGATGTCAGATGATTGTTCGAAACCACTATTCGAGAAGTGCTTTTAAAGCTTCGTGGAAGTCTGCTCCATCATCTCTTGACGTGACATGGTCTTTTTTTACGGCTCTTCGACGTTCCTCATGTAGAGGTCCAGCATTGCGTGATCCGACTGGCCTATCTTCCTGTCTCTTGTCAAAGGAATAACCGGCGGCCTTACTTGGTATTACGAAGACCATAACGAGTGAAGGTGATAGAGGACGCAAGACTTGGAGGAAATCTGGCCCTAAGACTACCACTCGAGATATTACGAAGTAGGGAGGCAGGTTGACATGAAGTCTATATATCTTTTTATCCTACGGCCTAGAGAATATCACTACCGAGAGACTCAAGAATGTGGCAATGCATGTTGATAGGTATGTTGGCATCCTAAGCGCATAAATGAGGCTACTCGGCAATGATGGCACGGACTCCGATTTTAGAAGCCCGCGTAATCTATTGCTGAGGGCAATCGGCTTCACTCCTATCACGGCTCCCTTTAATGCCTTCTTTTGCTCTCTGGCGATCATACCTGCCGGCCCAGAATTATGGATCTACATTCACAGTGAACTAAGCATTATGCACTATACTTGGGTTTAGGAACACTTGAGCGACGACTCCCCTTATACGAATATTATTGTATATCTGATATTAGTATAATAACTCGCGAGTTTACAGTAGACAGCATCGATACTAAGGTCGACAAGATCGGTACTCCTGATTAGGCAGCTCGCCCCTTGGAATTAATTGAAATAGGGGAGCGGGTAAGTCGTCGCAGCACATTGACTGACCTGCATCGATTATCCCCGAATGCTGGCTCCTTTGGCAACTTCAAACGGAGATGTCCGCGGATAAGTATGATAATGGTCTTGGTCAATCAAATCAAATCATGTCAACCGCCTGTCGGCGCACGTCAAATGTCAAATAGGCACACCGCTTCCTGTGCCTGCGCTAAAACTCTCAATGGCGTTTGGGGAAGGTAGGTAGATAAGGTGGCGTGTGTCGCGGTATAAAGGATAATAAAAACCGTGAGCTTACGACCAAGACAAGTCTTCAGCCTCGGTCGTCATCTATGGAGGCGTTCAAAGCTCCGCGCCGTGGCTCTGTTGAAAGGCGCCCCTCTCTCTATGGCTACGCAGTTATGGGATTCATGGCATAGCGATGGATGTGAGATCTACTTAAGCGAGAAAAGCATTACACGTGATAGTTTTTTTTTTTTTTGTAATCTTTACCTTGCCTTGCTTCTTGCGGGCCGCACATCACTGCTTCCTTCAATGGAAGGGGCCAAGCAAGGGATGAATCTCACGATACGGGGAGCGGGATTCTTGATCTTAGCGAAGAGTGGCGTTCGGACAGAGTAGATTAGGCCAGATACCTAGATGCATATGAACCTCGCTCTACGGCGGCGCCACGAGACTGGGGCGAAGTCCGCATTGACGCATGTTTCCCTACAGTAGGGGGGAAAGACATAAGCGTACGAACATAGGCAATGCGATTTCCCCATTCATTCGTCCGTTCCTAAACTAGCTGAGCGGTTAGATGAATGATAGCCTACGATCAGGGGTGACCATAGGCCGCCAATGTCTTGCAGTTCGGGCATTTCTCAAGTTCAAAACTTTCTTGTCACGCACTTCCACACTTCCCTCGTCGTCATCGTTGGCTCACCGGCGGCATGCATCGGCTACCACGGCATAGCATGAAAAGCCCACGCTACGCCCAGTGGCAGCACTAGCTAGCTCATAGCTTCGATTTCTGGTTCTTCTCTAGAATCGTAACACCGCCCACCCCGTGTAGATGAGATGGATGGGGCAGCGTAGGCCCTCTTTGTGTCAAAGGGAAGGATGGAGGAACGTCGATCACGAAAGGAGAAGATGCTCCAAAAAAAGAAACGGGCGAAGGGTGAGAAGAGTTGCCGAACTGGAATCTTCTGCAACGAATCGGATGACCCTCCACAGAGGCGCTTTAACATTTGAACCACCTCGGCTCCGATCCGATGGGAATAGAAGAAAGAGGGCGAGAATAACCGAAAACACGTTTTCCGGGAATTGAGGGTATGGTAGCGTCAGAGTAAAAGGAACAGGACAAAAAAAAAGATAAAAATAACATGATGCGCTGTTTCAGGACGACAAAACAAGGGCTCATGGGTACCTACTGGTGATCAGTAGCAAAATATCTAGAGATCAACGGGATTGGAGCAACTCGTCGTCGCCTTGCAGCGGGTGCGTCACACAGCAGGTAAATCGTTCCTTCGTCTCGCGAATCGAATGGCCATCGGCGCATTTTCCTCTAGATTTGCGCTTGGATATTTTTTTTTCTTTTGGATGTTCGATGTAAAGATCGCCATGGCCCCCCTCCCCTCCATTATCTACACACATATATATATCTACGTGTCTAGAGGAAGAGGATGATGTGTACGTGACGCATTGGTATGCTGTAAGGCGATACCGTAAATGGTAGATAGATGGAGAAAAACGGGCGCCCGAAGGCTGCATACAGATGCAGAATGTCTTGCGATAGGTCTTCTCCGGTTGGCGTTGTCGTTTAACGGCATTTCTCGCCGAATCTGAGTCTCCGCCTCTCAGGTGCTTCCAACCCCTGTCGTTGACTACTAGAAATCTTCCAAGGAGATACTTCGTACGTACAGTAGGTAGAGAGAGGGGGTCAACGGGCTTTGCTAGGGGCGGGAGTAAGCGATGCAAGATTGCGCTTCTATTTTCAGCAGCAGTCAGGAAACGACCACCGAGCGCAAAGGAAATAAGCCCATTTGACGGGATGATACCACACGATAGGAAAAACGGGACCCCCCGGTTGGATTTGTGTGCGGTTTGTGACGTGCATCGTCGCGAAAACGAAGCGCATCCTGACCTCGCACAAAGGTGGGCGCAGATGCAGGCTCAGGTTCGCAGTAGGCAGCGTCGCGAAGATGGGGAATCTACGCGTGGAATAGACATTCAAAAATAGAGCTGCTAGTGTTGTATCTTGGGTTTGACGCGCTGCTGGGATGCTGGGATGCTCTGGGGATGGCAAAACGGGAATGCCCTCATCTTTCGTCAGTTTCGTGCTCTTCGGAGCTGACTCCTTACCTTTCCTTGCGGCCATTACTGAGGAGGGCCAAGGCAACGCAAGGTCTTGTTTCGTAATCCTGGGGTTGCTGCTGGTAAGATCGCAGCGTTCTCTATTCGGCCGGCCGGGACCCCTGATTGCTTGCAACCCTAGCCGCATTAGCCGCCGCAGCGATGCTTTGGAAAGTTCCCTGGATCCTGGATAACAGTTGGTGCGGTTGATGCAGGGGCACTCGGCCGGTTGGGGGACCTGCGGCTCTCTGCCATATCACGAGACGGGGCCAACAATGTTCGAGCAAGCGTTCTTCTCCCACAAGGTAGGTCACGATTAGGTTCCCCTGGCTGCACAGCCCAACGATGGTTGGATGGCAGGGATGTTTGATACTGCGAATCGGGTGATCTCCTCACTTGATTAGGAACATTGCTGTTGGACCAGTGTTCGCGATGGTATGCATGGCCGTTCGTTGCACTACGTATACATACTTAAGAAACATGCCTGTACCACTTGCGCAGAGGCTATCTATTGTTTCGCATCCCTTGGGACGCATGTGTAGGAAGAACGGTCGCGACGATGCATATGTACGACGTACCACGCTGGCACATATATATGCGCGTAGCAAACACTGAATCTCGGTTGTGTCTAGAGCCAATTGGTGGACGGTGAGCACTCACGTTACGCTCGCTAGGCAGATAGATCTCAGGAGCAGACGACGACCAGCCAGAGTCGGTGACATCTGCTGGGCGCCGGCCGCTATCCGGGTGACTCCTTATCCAGGGGCCCGGGATAAATCCAGCTCTGCTGCTGCTCATAAGTACTATGTATGTATGTATGTATGTATGTATGTATGTATGTAGAGCTGGCTTTGAGATTGCAAAGTGTGAGTGAGCAGATACAGAGCGTAACAGCGTACGGATGTCCCATCGCCCCATGGTGACACCTTACTTCTCCTATCTATCTGAATTCAGCATTGGCAACCGAACGTACTACTTGGTACAAGTTGCTTTCTCTCGTCTTGCCTAGTCAGGGGGGTCAGGGGATTGTTGAGAACTGGTAACGGCCGTCTCTCCACGCACCCGCAACTGAGATCTGAAATTCCGTTGTTGATACAAAAATGCATAGGCAGTCTCGATACTGCTGGTGACACAAGGATCTTGCCGGTAACAAGCAGATCGGTTAGAGATACGGCTGGCCCGATGCTGTGCATAGTATGTAAGCAACGGTTTTAGCGAACGCACTTGGTAGGCAGCCCCGCGCACCACCCTCGGAGATCGATCAGCTTCGAGAGAACTGCCCAGTTGGGTTGGCTCTCTGTCCCGTGGCGGTATGCGGTTAGATTCGCATACTGGGCCGTCTTTGTCCATGGTTCCCGAGATGGGCGCTGCCGTCCCAATGTAACCTCATATCACTTGATGGGACCATGCTGTAAGATGGACTCCTGCAGCTCAACGACACATGCGTATCAAGGCACTCTGCGGCTACCCGACTGGTAGGCCTGTGAACATCTGCACCGCTATCGTATGTATGTAAGTATGTATGTATATACCTAGGTAGGTGGGAAAGAGACGACCTGGCCCGTGCACCTGAAACAGTTCTGTGGCTCGTTATTTACATCACATTCCCCGTCCAGTCTATTTTCGTCCAACACGCCGCCACACATCCCGCAGTTGGCTATCTGGCGTGGGCTGATAGAAGCATAGAGTACAAGCCCCCGGGTTGA